AACATACGGTACAACATCAGCTCCATTCCTAGCTACAAAATGCTTGGATTACTTGGCTGAGAAAACCAAAAGGAATTTACCGCTTGGAGCAGCCGTGCTCAAGCATGATTTTTATGTAGACGACTGTCTAACAGGAGCAAATAGCATCCCAGAAGCAGTTCAGATTCAACAAGAGCTAAACAAAATACTGCTACCAGCCGGATTCAAGCTCCGAAAGTGGTGCTCCAACAATGACGAAGTTCTTGCACAAATTCCAAAGGAAGACATAGTCAACCACGTCAAATTAGACGAAACCCTTCAACACTACAGTGTGAAAACATTGGGTTTGATCTGGGTACCAAATAAGGATCAGCTATGTGGGCGATCCCAAAAAAAGTGAAGCGTCAACCATCACCAAACGAGTGGTGAGCTCGGAGGCATCACAAATTTTCGATCCACTAGGACTATTCGCTCCTGTTGTGGAAAAGGCTAAGATATTCATGCAAGGCCTGTGGGAGCTGAAGATGGGCTGGGACGACGAGCTTCCTCAACTGCTGCAAACTGAGTGGAAAAATTATCGTGCTGATCTACAAGCATTGAACAATTTGCAAATTCCACGGCACATCTTTGACGGAAAGGTGCCCATTAATCAGGAAATTCACACGTTTGTCGATGCGTCAGAGCGGGCATACGGAGCAGCAATCTATGTCCGAGCCACATATAAGAACAATCAAGTGTCTGTTCGGCTACTGTGCTCAAAGTCAAGAGTAGCGCCGACAGCAAAAGAGACGCTGCCTCGCCTGGAACTATGCGCCGCAGTATTGGGAGCAGAGCTAACCCACAGGGTGAGGAAGGATTTACGCATACCAAACGATAAGGTACCTGGATACTTATGGTCAGATTCGACTGTGGTGCTGTCCTGGATAAACGCATCAGCATCATCATATCACACGTTTGTGGCAAATCGAATCGCAAAAATCCAAGCTGTTTCAGACCAATCGCAGTGGCGTCACGTGTCATCAGCTAACAACCCAGCAGATGTACTATCAAGAGGAATTGCCGCCAGCAAGTTAGCAGAACACAATCTATGGCTATATGGACCTCTATTTCTACATGGCTCTCGCGACAAGTGGGCTCAGGTACCAACTACCACCCCCAGCGATCTAGAACGCAGGCTCAATCACATAAGCTTGCCCACATGTCAAAATGAAATTGGCAGTGTACTCTACAAGTGCAACCACAGCAACTCCTTCAATAAGCTACAACGTATTGTAGCATATATGATGCGGTTCTGTAACAAGAAAAACAGATCACCCACAACTACATTGTGTGTCGGTGAGTTAACCAATGCAAGGACCATCATCCTGCGAACTATCCAGCAAATTGATTTTAGTGCTGAATACAAACAACTCCGAATCCACAAAACAGTGGACAAAAAGAGCTCGATTGTCTCCCTATGTCCTATAATCGGAAACGACGGACTTATCAGAGTTGGAGGTAGATTAGAAGAATCTAGCCTTCCATATAACGCGAAGCATCAAATTTTGCTTCCATACAACGATCCACTGGTGAAAATGCTACTGCGAGAGATGCATGAAGAGAACATGCATTGCGGGGCTCAAGCTCTAAGAGCCATTGCCAGACAACAATATTGGATTCTCAATGATAAAACAATGGCAAGAAGCATAATTCACAGCTGTGTCAGATGTACAAAGGCACGGCCCAAGTTGATGCAACAAATCATGGGCAACCTACCAGCTGACCGAGTAACACAAGCTCGGCCATTCTTTAACTCTGGTGTTGACTACTGTGGACCGATTTGGATTCATCACAAACTACGTGGAAAAAGACCTGATAAGGCATACATTGCAGTCTTCTGCTGTTTTGCAACAAAAGCAGTTCATCTGGAGTTAGTAAGTGACTTGACAACAGATGCATTTTTAGCTGCTCTTCGGCGATTTTTGGGTCGACGCGGAAAATGTCAGACTATTCACTGTGACAACGCAACAAACTTTGTCGGTGCCAATAATCAATTGAAGGCCCTAGAGGGAGCTATATTCACCGACAAGGCTCAAGAACAGATTATAAACCATTGCAATAAAAAGCAAGTGGAGTTTAAGTTCATACCGCCCCGAGCACCATCGTTTGGCGGGCTTTGGGAAGCTGCGGTGAAATCTGCGAAGCGGCTTCTAGTAGCAGTCACAGCCACAGCGTCATTAACATTTGAGGAGCTTAACACCGTAATCGTGGAAGTCGAAGCAATCCTCAATTCCCGACCGCTGACACCAATGTCATCTGATCCAACAGATACATCAGCTCTGACTCCTGGCCATTTTTTGATTGGTGAACCGTTGACCGCCGCTCCCGATGCAAATCTAGCCTCACCAGGGAAAACGTTGGTGAAAAGATGGGAATTAGTGTCCAGATTAAAACAAATGTTCTGGGACCAATGGTCTATGGAGTATCTACAAGAGCTTCAAATGCGCAACAAGTGGAAAACCGCATCACAAAACGTGAAAGAGGGACTACTTGTGCTAGTCAAGGAAGACAACGTGCCTGTGATGAGTTGGCCAATGGGACGAATAGTGAAGACATATCCCGGTAAGGACGACCATGTCCGAGTAGTAGATGTAAAGACTGCATCTGGGATCTTCAAACGGTCAGTAACTCGTCTCGCGCCACTGTTAAAAGAAGAAACAGCCGTTAAACGTCCGCACAGTTCCATCGAAGATACAACGGCAAAGGATGAAATGCCTACACAGAGGAGGAAGATATCACCTTCGATCCTTCCAACCCTGCTGGCAATGTTACTCATTCTGCCACTAGCGTTGGGACAACAAACAAAGGTCACGCATTTCACAAATCAGCCAGGACTGTTCTATGAAAGAATCGGGACCTCTAGAATGGCAATTTCAGACTGGACCATCATTGTATATTACGACTTGCAACCATATTGGAGTGACATGAGAGTATTGGCTTCCGGGATAGCTGAACTCAAGCACAAGTGTTCAGAATTACAAAACGTCAATGCATGTAACTCTATATATGCACACTTTCAACATGTACATGCCGAATTACAAGCCGGAAATGAGCTTATTAACCACCCACGGCAGCGAAGATCACCGCTAGATATAGTCGGTAATGTGGCGAACTCATTATTTGGCGTGCTGGATTCCAAATATGCTGAAGATATGTCCAAGGTCATAAACGATGTCAAATCGAACGAGGACGTACTAATGATGCTATTGAAGAACCAAACATCAATCTTGGATTCCACTATAAATGTGGTAAGGAAAAGCAATTCAGCTACCAACGACCGCATACGAAACATAGAACGACAAATAGATGCTCTCACCAGAGAACGAGGAAAATATCAAGGCAACTATCTGCAACAAGCATTCATGATCCTGACAGCCCAACTCACTCTACTGGCAAATGGAATGCAGCGAATGCAAAATGAGATAACCAACGTTCTTACCGACATTCGCCACCGAACAATTAGTCCCATGCTAGTTTCTCCCCAACAATTAAGGGATCAACTTGATCAGATTAGGGAGCACATCCCACCGGATCAACAGCTGCCAGTCTCTTCAAATGACGTAATACAACTCTATCGAATCATGCATGCCGAGGGAACAACAACCACTGACCATGTTATCTTCAAAATAACGCTGCCATTAGTATCCACAGCGCAGCAAGAAGTTTTCAGCGTCATCCCCATCCCTGCATGGAAGGCAGGAAGCTGGCATGAATTCAAGCTCAAAACAAGGATCATAACTGTCAATGCCCATAGAGATCAATTCATGGGACTAACTACTGACGAGTTTGATCAATGTCTACAATTGCCAAAGGATGAACACATATGCGTCAATCATCAAGCTACGTTTAGCGTAGATAATCGATGTGAATTTCAGTTGTTCAATAACAAGACTGAAACGGAATGTGAGACTGCTAAATCGAAGTCCGATTTAATATGGTCAGCAACACATCAACGAAACAGATGGATGTTTGCAACCCACAGTCCGATCGAACTGCAGGCGGTATGCACGGGAGTTCCCTCCACAGTACAAATGGAAGGAACAGGCTTACTATCACTCGCCGCAGGTTGCACGGCACGCAACTCAAAAATCAGCGTTAGTACATTTAGCACAAGCCGCAGCGAGACAAAGGCAGCATATGTTCGTTTTGGCAACATCACCAAGATAAACATAGAAGAGACACCGAAACCAGGCGTAGAATCGACGACCAAGACAGCCGACGCCGAATTACGCGAATTAGATGCCCTACAACAACAACTGGCCAAACTAAAGGATGCGAAGTACGAAAATCAAGTCAGCATTGTACACCATCATCAAGTAGCCGCCTATGTGGCACTATCAATATCAATACTACTGATCGTGACCCTGAGTCTACGATATCGACGAGGCAATTGGAGAACACCACAATGCGGCCCCAATCCCCGGACAACAAGTGACCAGCCAGCACCCGAACCTACCCCACGGAGTTTTTCGTTCGACATTACTGAAAGTTGAACACCCGTTCAACGGCCGGGAGAATGTTCAGTCGCTGCAATATATATATAATTCATAATCATAACATTACATAATCTGTAATTCGTCAGTCACAGCACTCTCATATGCAGCCAAAATAAAGTATAGATTACCAGGTCAAGCGCATATGTAGATTCTGCTGACGACGATGAAGTGGAATGGAGCAATAGCCTCATTCTGCATATACCATTACAACCTACATTATTCTTGCACATCAACATTTGTAACCAGAAGCATATTCGTTTCCGCATGCACTAGCAACCTACATTATTCTTTATCATTAATATTCGTAAATGCAATCACATTTGTTAGCTATAAATATCGTTAAGTTTGAATCAATAAAGTCAGTAATCATCTGCAATTCAAAGAGATCTTTACTCCTCCAACTGCAGTCCACCTAGTTCAAGTGCTGGGTGCGACACAAACAAGGCAATTAGTTTATGTGCTATTTTGCCAGGCATCGAAGCCTACTCACACTAACAAACACTCATACAAACAGATGGCGAGACACTCCTTCTCAGTCACTGAGTAGTTCCTCTCAGCAGTGTTGAGCCGGCGGCTGGCGTACGCTATCACCCTCTCGTTTCCGTCGATGGTCTGTGTGAGTACGGCTCCGATTCCGTAATCACTGGCGTCAGTTTGTAGCACAAACTTCTCTGCAAAATCTGGGCAAGCCAGAATAGGGGCTTCGGTCAGCAGCGTCTTCAGCTCCTGGAAGGCCTGGTCTTGTCTTTGGGCCCATTCCCACTTGTGGCCCTTCTTCAGCAGCGATGTCATGGGTGCCACAACATCGGCGAAGTTCGGCACGAAGCGGCGATACCAGGAAGCGATTCCCAGGCATCTGCGTAGCTCCTTCAAGTTCGTCGGCGGCGCGAGTCCTCGTATCGCAGCGACCTTGTCCGGATCCGTGTGGATTCCGGCTTCGCTGATCACGTGCCCCAAGTACACGATGCGGCGCTGGAAGAAATGACACTTCCCTCTGTTGAGGCGCAGGTTTGCGCTGCGGAGGCGTCTGAAAACTTCTCCAAGATTGGCGACATGCTCCTCCAGTGTGGAGCCGATGACAATGATGTCATCCAGATATGCAAACGCATGGGGTTCCATATCCGGACCGATGACCGTGTCTAAGGCGCGTTGAAACGTGGCGGGAGCGGAGTGAAGTCCGAAAGGCATGACTCTCCAATGAAACAACCCTCTTCCGGGAACGGTAAACGCCGTGCACTCCCGGCTGTCCGGGGCCACTGGGATTTGCCAATACCCATTTTTGAGGTCCAGCGTCGAGATGAACTTCGCGTTCCGGAGTCGCTCCAAGATTTGATGGATCCTCGGAAGCGGATATGCGTCCGGCACGGAGTTCTCATTGAGCTGGCGGTAGTCCACGCACATGCGGACTTCGCCATTCTTCTTGGCCGCGATTACGATGGGCGCGCTGTGTGGGCTTTTGGAAGGTTCAATGCGTCCGTCTCGGAGGAGTTCATTGATCTGCTTATCAATGACGGCCCTCATGGCTGGATTCCTTGGAAAGTACCGCTGTTTAAGGGGTCGATCGGTGCGCATGAAGATGCGATGCTCTGCGATGTGCGATACCCCTGAAAGAGTATCAAACTTGGCCAGTTCCTGGTCCAGAAACTCCTTCACCCAAGGCTCGGGGTAATCCGGCGTCTCGGGTTCCTCTGTCTGGAAAGAGACCTGATCCTCTGTGGGATGACTCACCGAATTGACGGTTCCGCATAGGGGCGGGCTTGGCTCCGGCGTTTCCTCGACGTGATCCTGGAAGCGGACACGTTTTGTGGAGGTACGGAAGGGATTCCGTTGCGCGGCTGTGGCGTCTGCCACCGGCAAAGCCTGTCTCCAACTGGGCGGCTGGTTCTCCGTCGCTGGTGATGTTGTGTCTCGAGACTGTGTTCGAGGTGAGGTGCTTGGCTGGTCTTCGGGATTGGAGCATGGCTCCCTTGGCTGCCTTCGATGGGTAGAGCGTGGCTCTCCTTGGGCTGTCGTCGATGTCTTCTCGGTATGAGTGGAGTGTGACTCCGGTGCCGTGCTTCGCTGCTCAGAGCGTGGCTCTGCATGGTGGGCCATTGGTGGCTCTTCGTCGAGGTTGGAGTGTGACTCCCTTCGCTGGTCAGAGCGTGGCTCTGTCGTTGGTCTTCGCTGGTCGTCCGGTCGCAGTCGGAGGGTCTGCCCGCCGCAGAGCAGGGTTGCTCCGATCCCGCAGAGGAAATCCATTCCTAGGAGTATGTCGTCCAGTGCGTCCGACATCACGAGGAGAATGGTGGGCGTCCGTTCGCTTCCGAGGTAGATGTTTGCCGCCAGAGCTCTGGTCAGCTCGCGGCATGTTCCGTCAGCGAGTTTTACCTGGGTACGGATGTCCCGTGTGTTCCTCCCGTTGTCCAGCATTTGAGCCAGCCCTTCGCTAATAAAGCTGTGGGTGGCTCCGGTGTCCAGGGTAGCTGTGAACCGCTGTCCCTCCATGTGGATGGTAGCGCGGATGCGTCCCTGGTACTGATGGAGAGTGTCTCCTATTGGCTTCGGGGATACGGAGGGTTCCTCGGGTGATTCCCGGTCACACGAGGCCCTTGCCCGTTTCCCGACGGTGGCTGTCGGCAACAGTCGACCGTCCTGCGTCCTCGTTGACCGCAATCCCAGCAGAATAGGATCCGTGGATTCCTGCATTCGGCTTCGAAGTGCCCGGATTGGCCACAGTTCCGGCAGGCGTTGCGAACGTTGACGGCTTCTGGTCGTGGTGTCACCGCGCTCTGGCTGGTGCAAGCGTTCCGGCTAAGGGAACCGTTGAGGGCGTTGCCTGAAGAGGGCGCCTGTTGGGTGCGTCGAGTGGGCATCCTGTCTCCGTCTGCTGTGTAGCTGGCTCCTGTGGCCTGGCGTTGAGTCGGGATCCGGTTCTCGAGCGTTCTTCCGCCTCGGCTGCGTGTCTCCTCGTAGTTGGTCACGAGATGCGTTAGCTCGGTCAGCGTACGGAAATCCTGCCTCCGGGTATATAGTTGATACTCCGGCAGCATGTTTTCGTAGATCCTCTCCAGCTCCTTGTCCGAGGAGAATCCGGCCCGGCGTATCTGTAAACGGATGTCGATAAGGTACTCCTTAAATGGTTCGTTGGGCTTCTGGAAGTGCATCCTTATCTCATCCTCCAACCGCTGATAGTATCGCGGCGGCAAGAAGAAGTCAAGGAACTCTCGGCGGACCTCGGTCCAGCTGGCGTGTTGGAGTCCGCTCGTGCGGAACCAACTTTCGGCTCGGCCGGCCAGCAGCACCACCAGGGCTTGGGCCAGATATCTCCGGTCGATCCGGCAGGTATCGGCACGCTCCTCGATGTGCTCTATGAATCCTAGTGGATCCGTCGTCCCATCGAACGAAAGGCCCCACTTGGTCATTCGATCGATTAGGATTGCTCCCAAGCCGGCTTCACTCGGGGAATGCGCAGATCGCGCAGGCTCTTCCGCCTTCGGGCGTCGCCCGGTGGCTGGTGACGTACTGCGTGGTAAAAGGAGCGAAGGTGGTATCAATGATGCCGACGTGGTCGGTTCCGGCGAGATGAGAGACGGATCTAGCGGTATAGGTGACTTGACGTCGCCGGTGGGCGCGTTCCCGAACCGGCGTTCCAGTTCGTCGAGTCGATCCTGGATTTCCTTGGAATTGCTAGGCTGCCGCGCAAATGCTATAAGCCGCGCGCGTTGCTCGTCCACCGTGCCGCTTCGGTCGAGTTCGAACTCGCCTAGGATGGTTTCTAGCTCCATCTTTTTGCGATAACTTATCCAAGTGACGCCCATGGTTCACAGGATACGCGGAGAAAAAGGATCAGAAATAACAACGGGTCTCGAGAGAGTGAAAACGGCGGGATACCGTGGCAACGACTGGATTTTATATTGCTGGACGCGAGTTTGCGGAAATGGATCTCGCAGGATCCGTACTGTGTGCACGTATACCCTTGGTTTAGATCTCGCAGGATCACAGCGAATTTTACTTTATTATTTCAATCTTATTGTTTTATTCTTTAATATTTATTATCCTTATTTATTTATATTTTATTATTTTTATTTATCGATAGTTTATTTATTCGATTTCGATTTAATTTTATTCGGTATTTTTATTCGTTTATTCGTTTCCAGTATTTTTGGCGATCGATTATTATTTATCCTTTTAGTATTTATGTCTGCGATTATTATTTATCCGTTTCTTCAGTATATTTGTTTCTCGGTGGTTATTTTATTTTATTCAAATTTTATTATTGGTTTATTTCATCTGAATTTATTTAATTTATTTTTATATTTGAATTTATTTATTTATTTGATTATTCTTGATTTTATTTATTTTATTTCGATTTATTATTTGGATTATTTATTTATTTTAATCCTTATTATTATTTTATGATTTCGATTTTATTCTCGGCGGCAGGATCTCTCCGGATCCTTTGAGGGTTCGCGGGTGTCCTTAACGTGGTTGAAGGATATTGAAAATCTTCCCGATGTGTGCCAGGATACGACGATGAGTAATGTCTGCGACGATGTGTATGTACTGAGATGATCTTGCGAAGTGTCTTCTATGAGCTTATCTTCCGAAGTGTGTCCCTCCTAGCGAGGGTCCCCTGTATATATTGCTGCCTAAGCTAGCCGACGCTGCTGCCGCGGGCAGAGCAGAACTGGAGATGTGTGTGGGCCACGTGTGTGTGTGTGCTTGCGCGAAGCGTCCCTCTGCCGGCGTTGACGCTGGCAGTGACGTTGACTACGAAAACGAAATCTGGCGTAACTGTACCGCTTGTTTTGGCGACGATGCGTATGCACCAATGGAAATTTACCACGCGTTTTTTCTATTCCCTTTCCTCCTGTACGAAATCTGGCGTAACTGTACGTCGCGACATGTGGGACGAAAATTTCTTACACTCGCAAAAACGAATGTGCTCTGGTCGAAAAATATGTTTATGAAAAATATATTCCCTGACATTAAATTTTCTATCCCCGTCCTTTAGAAAACTAAATTTCCCTGCTTTTGCCTTCGCGAAAAATTTATATTATATTTTTTTTTCTACTAGAAAATTCTGGTTTTTCGGCCAGTGGGGCTTTAATCCACTGAAAAAAAATTTATCCTAGCTGTCCTGACCGGTCCCTGTTCGGGCGCCATCTGTAAGGATGTGTCTTAGGCCGGGGTAAACCTCAGCGGCCCAGGATTCCTCTCCAGAAATATTTATATTTTGTGAGACGGCCAGAACATGGACGCCGAATTTTAATGAATTTTATAGGGGGCAAAATGGCAGCGAAAAGGGACTCGTTTTCAAAAGTGGGACTCTGGCTTCGGGAAAATGGGAATCTTGGACGGTCACCCTGGCGATGGCCAGGTGCTCCTCCGTTTCCTGCGCTCGCTCGGTTGCCCAGCAACGGCGACTCTTTCGATCGGCAAAATCTCCGCCGCCCGGGATGACCCAGCGGCGATGGCGGGCAAAATGCAGATCGAAAGGGAAAGGGAGAGGGGAAGGGGAAACCTAAAACGCGCGATCACCCTGGCGATGGCCAGGTGCTCCTCCGTTTCCGGCGCCTGCCCGGTTGCCCAGCAGCGGCGACTCTTCCGATCGGCAAAATCTCCGCCGCCCGGGATAACCCGCCGGCGATGGCGGGCAAGATGCAGATCGGAAGGGAAAAGGAGAGGGAAGAGGGGGAAATCTGTGAACACGTGCCGGCGGCGATGAACTCGTAGCTCGGGAAAAACCCAGCAGCCCCGATGCCCACGCCAGATCTGTGCCCGGGAGAACCCAGCAGCGACAAATCCCGCTCCCGTCCCGCTTCTCCGGCCCGGAGCTTGCCCAGCGGCCACGCGGAGTTGGTGCGGGCAACCCAGCCACCAGCTCGGCGAGAGAGTGAGCGAGAGGGGAACACTTTGGCACGCGTCAAAATAAGGGTTGGTTGCTGCTACGCGGAGTTTTATGCGGGTGCGAGAGAGAAAGACGATGGAATTTCTGACTTCATTTTGGGTACTTTATTTTATTACTTAATTATGATGGCTACATTTTCTAATGTACGCCTGTCGGCCCTAACCTGGCCCTACGCCACACTCCAATGACCTGCCCTTACATGGCACTCGGCCGGCTCACCTGATGTTAGCAACCAGGATGTAAATCGACACACGCGGGTCCTTTTGGACTTAGCTCTACTTAGCTGTCGGTTTTGATAATCGCGAGTCGCGGAGACTGATGTCAATCGTTCACGTTTGCTGTCGCCAGAGAAGTGCTCGCGGTCGCAGCTTGCAAAGCCCTTGTCGCCTCGTCTCTGCCAAAAAGGTCCGGGCAGCGCAGCTTTCGGCCGTCGGCTTTGTTATTGTTATTGTTTATGTTTTGATCGGCATGTAAATAAGCACGACCAAAACGTAAACACGCTCGATCGTCGGAGGGGAAACGTCGCTGCCTCTGCCGCTGTTCGCGTCGGCAGAGGAGAGGGGAAATGGCTTCAGCGCGGTCGCTACAGTCCGTGTTGACAAAATGTATACGCCTGAGCGTTGCGGCCTAAATCTAATTTGGCCCTTCCTGGGCAAATTAACTGTGGGCTTCATGCCCGTTTAAATGTACAGTTGTGTGTGTGAGTGTGTGGCTAATCCTAACTTACTTCCCTATACTAATTGCTAACTTAACTATGACCTTAACTAATATGTACAGTATTTACATAAATATAGGGGATTGTGACATCGTCACAACATTTTCCTAAACTATGACTGCCGTCCCTAACCTGGCCCTACACCACACTCCAGTAAAAGCTACTCTGACATGGCTCTCAGCCGGCTCACCCGCTGTTGTCGGTGGGCGAGGACACGTGTCCGTCAGCCGAAGGCTCCTTAGGCACTCGCGTGTCCTTTTTGGGACTTAGTCGTTTGGGGAACTTTCCCACGTGTCCTTGAGGACGTCGCCCGCGGCGGGAGGGATGTGTAGCGATTGCGTTCACAGCTGCCAGAGAAGTGATCGCGGTCGAGAATTGCAAAGCCCTTGTCGCCTCGTCTCTGCCCAAAATGTCCGGGCAGCGCAGCTTTCGGCCGTCGGCTTTGTTATTGTTTTTGTTTACGTTTTGATCGTGTTTTTTATGTTTTGATCGGCATGTAAATAAACACGATCAAAACGTAAACACGCACGATCGTCGGAGGGGAAATGTCGCTGCCACTGCCGCTGTTCGCGTCGGCAGCGGAGAGGGGAAATGTCTTTAGCGCGGTCGCTACAGTCCGTCTTTGAAAAATGTATACGCTTGTTCGTCGCGGTCTTATTTTAAATCTAATCTGGCCCTTCTTGGGCAAGGTAACTCCGGCTCCGTGCCGCTAAATGTGTGTGTGAGTGTGTAGTGTGTGTGCTTAATTCTAGCTTATTAAATACCTTAAATTCTAGGATTAATTATCTTATATATATACACTATTTACATAGGGTTTCGTGACTTCGTCACAATTTAAAATTCAAAATTCAAAATTTAAAACCTAAAATTCAAAATTCAAAATTCAAAATTCAAAATTCAAAATTCAAAATTCAAAATTTAAAATTTATAATTCAAAACCTAAAATTCAAAATTTAAAAATTAAAATTTAAAATTCAAAATATAAAATTTAAAATTCAAAATTCAAAACCTAAAATTCAAAATTTAAAATTCAAAACTCAAAATTAAAAACCCAAAACTCAAAATTCAGAACTTAAAATTCAAAATTTAAAATTCAAAACTTAAAATTCAAAATTTAAAATCCAAATTCAAATTCAAATCCAAATTCAAATCCAAATCCAAATTTAAGTTCTGGCTATGGCGGGAATTTGTCTGCTCGCGTTTTCCAATACTGCGCGGGTGCGAAAGCTCGCTGCGCATGCGCTGCACAACACTATGATCAGCTGATCGTGTGTTGCGCCTAGAAAGAAAAACGAGAGGGAAAAAAGTGGCGTGTGGAAACTATTCCAAGCTGTGAGAGCGTTCGTGGGAAATAGAGCCGCTCGCTGGACAGGAGAGAGTCCCCCCCTTGCCCACGGGTTCCAATGGCGGTTCCAAGTGCCTCGATTCGGGGAGCCCGGATAGCCAGCCGGGGTCGATTCTGGTACGTACCTTTCCCCAGTTGTCTCACAAGTAGTAATATCACCTTTTTAGGGCCTTTCGAGCTGTCTACAATATTTTTCTTTTGGAGCTCGGAAAAACACGTCTAATCACTGTGAGTAAACAAACTTCGTGCGTGTGTGAATGTTTTTTTTTTTTTTGTATTCTTTATTTGAAAAAACATAAAACATAACATTTAAGACTATAACTACATAAGTAACACAGGGTTGCTGGGAAGGACAAACAGAAACAGTGTAGAGGGCCGTATCGCGCGGTACCGCCGCTAGGCATTGCTTCGCGCGATATGCAGGCCGCCTACTCCGCTCGCGTCCTCCTCTCGTTCTCCATGGTCCTCAAGGTCTTCAAGACGCTGGCCACGAACATGGCTGTCGCGTCCCAGGTCACCTGGCTGACCAGCATGGTGGAAACCAGGTTGTCCACTGAGATGGCCGTACCCACGGCTTCCTCCAGCGCCTGCCGCTCATGGTGGAAACGATGGCAGTCGAAGAGTACGTGGTGCGCATTTTCTTCCACCCCGGTCCCGCATTCTGGGCAGTGATCCTCGGTGTCGTGACCGAATCGCTTCAGGTAGCTTCTGAAGCATCCGTGACCACTAAGAGCCTGAGTCAGGTAGAAGTCGACTTCTCCGTGCTTCCGACTTATCCAGCTTTTGATGTCTGGAATCAGGCGGTGGGTCCAACGGCCTTTGGTGGATCTGTCCCACCTGTCCTGCC